AAAAAAGCCCAGGCATGAAGCAAATGCTCCTCGGAAGAGGCATCACACTGCATGTTCACTTGCAGTTCCGAAATCCAAACAGCAAAGTGCAGCCTAGAGAGTGGCTATGAATTAGACAGGAAAAATGTTGGGCTAAACCTTCTAGAAGATGCCCTGAATGAAAATCATCTTCCAGGGAACAAGATAGGGTGCTTGATGGAATAGGCAGGACTTTTTACGAGCAAGCAGTAGGAAATGATATGTGCTAGTAGGAAATATATCCAGCAACAGCTTACCTTGAGTTCTTACAGTGAAGAACATCGCTATGAAGTAGTACTCTAAAAAAAGAGTTATTTTTAATATGCTTTTATGTTGAATGTGTGTGTGGGGGGGATGTTTTTTCTGTTTTTTTTCTTTTTTGTTTTCTTTCCTGTTGCTGTAACTGTCAAAGTAGGGTGACGTGGGAGACCAATAGTCTCAACACAAGCATAAGTGGTGTTAATTTGTCTTTTAAGAATAGCTTTGTTAAAATTAAATTTATTTCCATTTGCCTGTTTTCATTTGTGCCATTTATTTTAGCAACAGTTCAACAAAATTCTTTGCTAGATCATTTTAATTCCTGTGGGTTAACTAATTTGCTAGTGTATTTCTTTTTATTTCTCTTCCCTCCAGTAGTTGCATTCTCTTCAATATGGAATAAAAAGATAAAATGGAGAAAAATTTCCTGTCGGCTTATTTCAGTTGACTATATGAAGTGTCTGCCAGGGGGTGCTGTGTGATTGGTCAGAGCTTCATCTGCACTCCAGAGATCGAAAAAAAAAATGGCTTTTCTTAGTATTTTCAATTCACTGTTTGCAATTCACAAGGATTGCTGAGCACACAAATGTTGCATAAAGTTCTGTTGTGTAATAATTTCTAATGATTCTGATAGAAAGAGTGAGGTTTGTATTTCTGGCTTGCCATTCCACCACCATACATATGAAGATTTCAGTATTATCCTGAACTCCACTCATGATTTAATGGGCTAGAAAATTGTATTATTAATCTTATGTGAGAACTTATTTGTTCAGTTAAGTATTTTTTTAACATACACTGACAATATTTAAGGAAACAGGGCTAGCTTATAAGGGGAGGTGAGGTCTCAGGAAAAAATGTGGAAATATGGGCTTTTTAGTAAAAAATTTTTACATTAACTTTAGACAAGCAATGTTAGTATGTTATAATAAATAGGCTTCTAGCCGACAGTCTGTTTAAAGTCCACAGAAATAGAATTAAAAAATAGATATGCATGGAAAAAAAAAAAAGGAAAGTGCCTTTAGTCTTGCATTTTGTTCTATATGTACCATTCACTGTTTTCAAGGAGTCCGCGAACACAGTAATTCTAATTTTCTCCTTAATTTTTGTTTCCTCTGTTCCAGAGGCAGTTTCTAGGGGGTCTGAGAAGAGAGGCTAAGAAAAAGCAAGTTCTGAGTTGTGTCTGGATACATGACACATCTAAAGATATCTGTAATTCTGCCGTAAAATATGTAGAGATGTAGATATTGAAAATAGGTGGAAGCTGCTAGTCCGAAAGTTGCCTGTCAGCCTAGTGATTACCAAGTCCCAATTCTGTGGCTGCTCAGTTGTATGGTGACCCATTTTGTAACTAGCAAGTTTGCTGCTGTTTTTTCTTCGATAACTCCCATTCTGCTTGCAGCAGATGCAAGTGTAGATGGTTTGAAGTCCACAAGTTACATGGTTGTGGTTACCCTGACATGTTTTTTCACTGTGAGCATCATAGTTCAAAACCAGTAATTTGACTTTTCTTGAATTTAACAGTCAAGAAGCATCATTTTAAGACTGATTGATAAATTTTAGCTTTTGTGTAGATCTGGAAATGAGATCATGGTGTTTCTCCATGTCCACATGACCTCAGTTTCTTGGTATTCCTTCCAGCTGATGCTTGTAACTTCTGACCCACTGAGAATTTGTTAGTGTATGCATACATGTTTGAAGTACAGTAAATTGTTTTGAAGAGGGTCGGTTTGGGGAATAAGATAAGTAAACTAGGAAAAGCAAAGAGGGAGAGAGCAGTCCGTGGAAGGTGATGGAAAGGATCGCTCTCAGTTCCCTGCTCCGGAAGGGATGCTGCAGTGCAGATTTCCCTGAGGTGATATTAGGGCACTAATTGGTTGTTTTAAATAGAACTACTGAGCAGTTTTGCAGTGCTGTACAGCAAGGAGCAGCTTTAAAGCACTTTAGCTCAGTGTGAGGAGGAATTATCACTGAAGAGTTACACATCATGGGGAGTATAGTCTTCTATTGTTTACTTGGTGCCTTACTGTTAAATAAGAGAATGGTCAAGATGTGAGTTGTAGATTTTTATTTGTGCTAATCCTGTCAGCACTGTGGCAGTCTGATACCTTTTACCAGGTTATACAGTGAAGAAGAGATGAGTAAATGACTTGGAAATTTTATTGCAAGCAAGTGCCGTGCACATGAGGTGTCTGAACTAACTGTGACTGGAGTTCTGTTTTTGTCTCTTTCTGCATGCTGAAAATCACTTGTTTATTTCTTTCCATAAAATGGCAATAATGATGGGAAAAAAAAACCCTTATAAAAGTTGTGTTTATTACCTTCCTCAATAATGTATCTACGAGATGATGATCTCCTGCCAGTGTGTAATGGAGATCTTGTGGTCCTCTCTCATCAGTATGCAAAAAAAAAGAACGGAACCTTTTGAAAATGGAGAAATGCACAGTGTTCTCAACTCTGAGCAAGACGTGCCCGTGAATTTTTCTTCTGCCTTTATAGATAATGCATTGTATTAAGCCTCCATTCTGACACCATCTCTGCTAACGCCCACCTCTCATGTAGGTGAGCGGCGTTGAGGAGGAGCTGCCCCCAGCTGATCTGCACTCAGTCCGTTAGCCCACGCTGCAGGAAAGCCCCTCTCCTTTTCCCTGCTTGTGCAGTTGGGCTGGGACTAAGTAGCCCTTGGAGATCTCGAGCGGGGTAGCACGGTTTTTGCACCCAAAGCAGAGTGTGCAAATGCCTGGATGGCTCCTATTGCTGCCCGTGGGGCTGCAAGAATGAGCAGGGCTGAGGGGATGCTGCCAGGTCCTGACAGATTATTCGTTCTCAGAGATGTCCCACACTGCAGCAGGGGTAGTTGGGGTGGTGAAATGGAAGCCCTTATCCTGCCGTGTGACAGCAATTCGTTTAGCTTACAGGGAAGGATGGGGACCTAGCCCTGTGTGTTCTCTATTTACGCCATGATCCTTGCACACGTGTTTGGTTTGAACACATGAATATTGCAAAGGATTTGTAGGTTGTATTCTGGAGCACAATGAAAATCACTTTTGCTCAGGTTTTCGTGTATGGTTTTCCGCCTCCTCATGTATGTCTTGCTTCAGTGCACAGCTGCTTTTCCTGAGTTGTCAGGAGCCAGTGGCAGAGGGCTGTTTATCCCTAAGTAGTGCTTAGTTTTGATGAGTAACAGCCATCGTTCATCCTCACCCAGCTTAGGGCTCTGCCCACAGGTGTTTACTGCATTGAAGTCATGTCAGCTTATAGGTTTTCCCACTTAAAAAAAAGTGCTTAGAAACAATGTGCTGGCTTGGTTTGTTTTGGGGTGTTCCTTGTTAACTTCTGTTTCAGAAATTCTGTTCTTGATCTGTTTTTCTCTGCCCCTCTCCTTAGCCCTAAATTATAGTATTTCTCCCTTTATAGACTGTTTTGTTTTTACCTCTTGGATCTCACTTTAATCACAAAAATGATTATCCAAGGTAGCTATGTTAATCAGTTCTCTTTATTTATTTAGAGATAGCAGATTAATTTGTGTTTACAGTTCTAAAACTGTTTAATATTTATTTTTTGGAGAGAAATGATGGTTTTCTCCACTATTAGGTTATACAGTCCTAACTGTGGTAGTTTAGCTCCAGTTTTATGTGTTTTAAAAGAGCTTTCAAGGAGAGTTCACTAGGTGATTTTGACACTTTGCTATTTTAAAAGAGCTTTCAAGGTTCACTAGGTGATTTTGACACTTTGCTGGGGAGGTTTGAAAGAAGTGGAGAGCTCAGTGCTTGCTTTCTGTATACTTTGTGAGAATTATAAATCAAAGTGCTGTGTTTTGTTGGCTCTGCAGTATTGATTTTATTGCAGCCGTTCCAGTCTTCTGAATAACAGTGATATAGCTATTTTCTGAATTTCAATTAAAATGACATTTTTAAGAAGTTTCTCATAACTTAGATAGGAAACTTGTGCTTTTAACTTCCATGGGGTTTGTAACTTATCTGTGTGTACCTCAAAGAGGGTGTTAAGACAATCTGTGGATAATGCTAGGTCAAAACTAATTTAAACTAAAAATATGTCAATATCTGCATTTTGTTTCATGAAATGAAACTTCTAAAATAGGAATATATCATTTTGGTTTCCTAAGCATAACTTTTTTTTATTCCACTTTAGAGAACACTTTGTTTCTGAAAGTGGGACTTAGATGTGGAAAATACATGTTTGTCTTTTTAAGACCTAGGTGGTCTTTAGATTGTGTTACATTATGGAACATAAAAATATTGCTTGACTATTGTGTGGCTTTAAATATATGGGTAAATGCACATATATGCAGTTAAGGTAATAAAGTAGTAGCCTAATTTTATGGATATCAGAATGAGCTCACATGGTATCTATTTACTTGACATCAATCAAAAACAATAATTTTAACACAAGCCACTTATTCTGCTTCCCTCTGTATAGTGCTGCTTCTTGGCCAAACAAAGAGATATTTAGATGAACATGGCTTCCATATGTGCTTAGCAACTTGTTTTTACTTGATATTTTATCCTTATTCCTGAACATTAGTAGGATTTATTTTTCATTTAGGAAAAGATGTAAACATCTTTTACTGATGCTTCAAGTGTTGTGTTGTAGGCTTTTTTTTCTTAGCATGTGGTGGAAAAGACCTCCAAAATATATAATTAATCAGTATTTGCTTAAATGAAGTAAATTTTAGTTAGTTAAATGCCTTTAAAATATCTTTATAGGGTTTAGTTTAGCAGCTTTTAAGAGGAACAAGAGGAAGCTGGAGTTGGCCGAAAAGGTGGAAACAGATCTCATTCAACTAAAGAAAAGAAGACAATCAAATGAAAAGGTAAGTTCATGTTTCATCCTTAACTTCCAACTGATTACTAATACATTTCATATTGTATCTATGATGAAACTAATGTGGCATCAAAAGGCACTTCTCCTTGAGCACCTTAATGTCTGAATCATGTAGTGATATCTTGCTTAGCACAACTGACTTTCTGCCTTGCTCTTTGAAAACCAAACTCTGACTTTATATATTTTTTGCACTATCAAGAATATATTTTGCTCATGTTGAGGGGGAAACACAGCAAATATAAACACAAATATTTACAAAAGTGTTTTGTTGAGCTTGGGATTTTTGTCAATGTTTCCCACTCTTCCATGTTCCCTGAGTGCACTGCATTACAGACCTGGAATTGATGAAATTTGAAATATCAGGTAGGTAAACATGTGCATCTGTGCATGCATCCAGCATTGACCTGGCCCATATTACTTGTTCTGCTTTACACAGAACTATTAGGATACTTTCTATTCCCCTCACTCTGTTAGTTGGAATGAGAACCTATTTTATCATTTGAGAATGTCTGTTGCAGTGTTTGTATTTATTGCTAAATATCAATTTATAGATTAATCAATTTATCAATTAATACTTAATGTGCTTTATGTGAGGCTTATGCCATTAGGATCAGCCAGTTTAGCTTTGGTTACCTAAGTGTTTCCACTGCCTGTGTATTTGCATAGACTTATAAAAATAATTTATAAGCTCCAGAGAGCTGACCAGGAAAAAAAAAAAAGTATTCCCTGTAGTCTATACAGTATAAACCACTCATAATTTGGCTTATTTTCTCTGTTTTCATAGTTCAGGACTTCTACCTAATAGAGATCTATTTCTCAGTTTGCTAGAAGGTAAAGCCTGTAAAGACAGGAAGAATAGAGGGAGGGAAAGCAAGTTAGTTATTGGTCTTGGAGCTTGTCTTGTTTACAGGATTTTCTGCACTTCCTGGTGGAAGTTCCATTTTTCTATGGTGTCAAAATGTACCTTGAGGGAGGACGGGTCTTTGTGTAGTGTTGACATTCCTGTAATAAGGGGCAAGTCAATGCTTGAAACATATGCCAATGCATGAGCTTACCGACCTGCAATTTGAAATTTCAAGGGCTCCAGAGTCATGTGCAGCACTTGTGGGAGACTCCCAAAGACCAAAGATGGTAGGTAAAGGAGGTGATCAAATAGATCTCTGCTCACCGGTAAGTAACCCAGTAATACATGGGTTTTGTCAGCCCTTTGGGTGCATCCTGTCTTTGGAGGGAGGAACAGCAAACCAGCCCACCATAGCACCACTCAAATGATGACAAAGTGGACTGCTTGTGTTGCACAAGGTAATTGCAATCCTATGGGAAGTTTTAATTCTTCAAAGTGAAATAGAAATGAAAAATCAATAGAAATTTCTACAATAGAAAATTCTGCAAGAAAAATACAAAAGCAGTTCTCTCTGAACTGATAGAAGACAGGCTTTTAACAAGAAAAAGGCACATTAACTGTGATCCCTAAGTTTGTGCTCTGAGCAGTTGAGATATAAAAGGTTTTAAAATATTATTTTAGAATCATTTATGTATTTTATAATCATTTCAAAATTTTTAATAATTAAAAAGTAATCTTCTCAAGGTTGTTTTAATTGATAAATACCAAATTTATTTTTTTACTGTGGAGTTGCAGATCTGTCCCTTTCAACAAGACTTGCTGGCTGTTTTTTGTCCAGTTTCAGCCTTCCAGGTACTGCAGCATAACATATGCCTCTGTTCCCAATACTGCACAGTTGTCATAATTCCTGATCAGTTTTAGTCTCCAAAATTCTAGAGGTTGAGAGAAGAGCAAGGTAGAAAGTGTGTTAATGGTGTTAAAATTGAATGGAAATGATAATTGAAAAGTCTACATGAGGAGCGTTGTACTGCAGATCAAAAAGGATGGGCTGAAATTAACTGGAAGTTGTAGCTGTGGATAAATTTTACCAGCACAAAATAAATATACAGCTTTAAAACTTAGTTTTCTTTAAAAATTAAACCAAGTTTAAAAGGATTAAAGACTGTATGAATTTAATTAAAAAAAAAACTGTTTGGGAAAACTAGGCAGTGTAACTTACCAAGGGAGCTTTCATCTGGTAAATAGAATGTTTTTTTTGCTGTATTTTTCAATTGTTTATCCAGTGTAGGATGTGTAGAAGGCTATGCAATAGCACATAGAAAGATCTGTCCAGTAACTTCACTCAGTTTTGAAGGTATGAAGATTGAGGAATATTTTTTAAGTTGTAGTGGTTTATCTATTGATTTATATCAATCAGTTAAAGAAACTGCTCTTGTTTGGGTGTGAATTAGCTGAATAACCTCATAGGGGTTTTGATATGATGAATTAATTCAGGCATATACTATTAAGAAGTTCTCGCCTCAAGCACAAATAAAGATCAGAGGATTTTTCTGTTGCTATGGACCTCTATTCTGAGTGGGAGAACACCGTAAAAGGCATTTTTTAAGGGAAATCTACTTCATCTAATTAGCACTATATGCCAAATTCCATTTACTTGTGTGGTTGGTAATTGCTGAGGAGTTAGGTAAAATGGTGGCTATCTAGAATTTTTATTTTATGTGAACAGAGGGGAAGGGTGGGATTTCTGAACTACTTGATCAAACTCTGTTTTTGAGGGGATGAATACCTTCCTGCTCTGTGTGCATGTTCTTAGTGCATGTGCATGCTTGGACCAAGATTACACAAAATTAACTTCCTTTGCTGTTGCAAGATGCAAATTAATTAACATGAAGTCTTACTTTTAAAAGCGACTTCAATCTAGTTCTGCGTAAAGTATCAACTGTATGATAGGTCAGTTTTAGATTCTGGTATTACATTTTTCAACATTTTAAAAACCGAAATGTACTTTTTGAAATTGACTTGTTAATATAATGTATTAGCTCAAGTCTGATATGAATTTTGTTAACAGATGTCACCATGTATCTGTTTCTTTGGAACTTACAGAATTTTGAAATCTAAGATGTCAACCTCATAAGCTGAACATATGAAAAGCTAAGAGGGTAAACTGGAATTTCTTTTAGTCCGTGTTGGACCCATTTAGAGTTGTACTTTGTGTTTTTATCAGTGTTTGACTACTATTTGAAATTTGAAGAATTTCACTAATTGATCTTACAGTATCAATAGTGATTTATTTATTTAATGTGATTGGAAAAAGATACTCATGAGAACAAATCGTTGAATTGCTGCACTTCAGTGATATGGATCTCCTTCAGAAAGTTGTCTTGGCCAGATTAAAGAGTGCTTCCCTTCAGAGGACTTTCCAAACTCCTAAATTGCCTCAGCTAAAATATAAATGAAAGAAAGCAAGCTATATCGCTGGCATTGACAGAACATAGTGATAAGAAATAGACCTTCTTTTAAAGGAAATAATGGTGAAGAATGCTTTTATGCAACATATATTTCTAAATCTTATAGTTTGTTGATTAAAATACTTTTTAAAGGATGATTTATGTAGTTCTTGAATGCAAACTTTTTGGGCAAGTGACAGTAAAAGTTGAAGATCAAATAGTTCTCCAAATAATTCTCCAGATGCTGCAGAGAAGGCTGCAACCATTTTTTCTTTGCTGTTGGATGATACGGAAAACACACTGCTCTGCTCTGAGCCTCATCCTTCTAAAATTTATTTCTGTTCATCAAAGGACCCCTGAGTACATTGGTACATTTAACACTGGCATTTCCTGAATTTCGCAGACTTGTAATTGTTTTTTAATATAGTGTTTTTTTTTTTTTTTTTTACATATCTAATTTCTTTGTTAAGGGGGCAGGATATGGATAACAAAACCTTAATCCTAACTTCTTCTCTGAATATAAGTCATGGGATCATAGCAAAAAAAGTTATGCTGGAAGAGTATTATCCCATCTGACCTTGAAAACTTCCAAGGATGGAGCCTGTACGTTGCTTTGCTGATCTTCAAGATCTTCTTAATCCATTGAACAATGTTGTCATAAGGGGCTAATAATATCTGTATTTGGTTGTGGTTGGCAGTCCTGGGAGATACGAAATATATTTGCCCATGAGATGTGTGTGTGTGTATGTGTTTCCGGGGGGAGGTTGGGGGGTTGTTTTGCAGCTTCTAGTGGAGGGATGTATTCCATAACTTTCATTTCTTTTTTACAACTTGGAAGGGAACTTGCAGTTTTTTCTTCTCCTTTGCTGTACTCCCCCAAATTCCTTTTGCTTCTCTTTCTCCACCCTTCCTTTTTTTTTTTTTTTTTTTTGAGGTATTTGCTTGAACAATTGGCTTGAAATCTAAGCACCAAGAAGTGTTGTTGACACCACATGATTTTTCACCTTTCTCTAGCTCACCAGGTCCTCTGCTTTGCTGATAGGAAAATCAGCGTGGTTTTAATATTGAATATGATTAGTCCAAGCTTAAGAGGGTAGAAACTTGTTCAGAAATAACTAGGTGGAGAGGAAAGAAAGAAGGTTACTGCTACCCTGGGTTAAAAGTGAAGGAATGATATTGCGTGAAAAATGCTTATGCTGTGGTGGGCACTGTGGTGCTGAAGTGCCTAGGTTTCTTTTTCTTTTCTTTTTTCCTATCATTACTGGTACAGTACCAATTCTGATACAGTTTCAACTCAAGTAGTATCTAATATTGTAAGTGAAGGAAGGCCAGAGTATCATCGGTGTGAATCTTGTAAGAGCCTCACTGCTTGACAAGTGACTTTTTGAGTTACCAAGGAAACTTTAACTGATGAGGTGACTTGATAATTTAAAGTTTAATAGCTGAATATAGATATTTGTTTTCCTGGATCCTAGAGGTGTGTTAGGGCAGTGGAGGAAGGAAGGATCAGGGTGAGAGGGGCGACAAGTGGAGTGTGTGCAAGGCAGCAAGCAGAGAGCCTGCACCGGGGTAGGTGTTGAGAGGCTGCTGCCCCTGGCAGAGCAAATGTGCTTTAGAAGTGGAGGAGAAGGAGACTTGTCCAGCAGCCCCAAGGGAACTGAGTGCAATTTGTTTCAACCCAGGAAGCCACTAAAGATGGTTGAACTGAAAAACAAGCCTGGGAGAAAGGATCTGTCCTATTAAGGACAAAGTTAGCATGGGGAAGACTTCTTTTTTCCAAGACTTGTTTTTATGTCTTGCTCTACATATTTGAATTTTTTTTCTCTTTACAGGGTAGGCTGGTCTTATTTTTTGTTTTTCTTTTTCTTGTTTTTTTTTGCTGTTTTAAATAACATCTAGCTTTAAAGATGAGAAGTCTCTGATATGTTGCCTCACCTCCAAAAATAAAAACTCTACCTCAAAGCTTTCAGAAGAGATCTTGTGATATGGTATCTTTGGAATGAGTTGGTGAATCATTGTTTAGTGAACAAGTATGTACAACTAAGGTACCATTATTTAGCACCTTTGTGAGCAAGAGCAAGTAATCAAAGCCTGCTTGAGTTAGAGATATTTATCGCCTTCTTGCTTCCAGAGAATTTCTCTTAGCTTGTTAGTTAGTTCTGTAAACATTAGCTTGCAGTCTCTTTAAGAAGTGCAATAGTTGTTGTTTCTGTTTGTGTGTCCTGCAGGAGAACGACTCAGGAACATTGGATACAGTTGGTGCAGTTGTTGTTGACCAAGAAGGAAACGTTGCTGCTGCTGTCTCCAGTGGAGGTTTAGCATTAAAACACCCTGGGAGAGTTGGTCAGGTGATTATTTACTTTCAGATAGGAATGTCTGTTCAGTGTCAGAGTGAATTGTCTGCATAAAATAAAAGGTATTAAAAGCGCAAGTAGAATACAGGCATTTTTCATTATTATTAGACACAGGAATCTTGAGGTGCATCAGAAATATCTTACATTACCCTTTTGCCACAGAGCTGCATTTTTGTTCCATTTTTACTACGTCCTGTGAGCAGGTCTCTCTCAGAATGTATTTAAAAATTCTTTTTGTAATAGCAAAATAAAAGGGACTTTGCATCAGTAGGGAATAGTTGCATTATTTTGTCTTTTGCTATCTGGCTTTATTTTAGTTTCTTTTGGAATACTGGGTCCTCCTCTCCTGCAAAGTGCTTGCATAGTAAGCACCTCTATAGTAAGCACTCAGTTCTGATGAGTACTGTTGGATGATACAATAGAATTAATAGGAATTGCTATTTGGACTGTTTTTTTAAAAAAAATATATTTTATTTGATGTATCTGATTTGGGGGGGGATGGGGATAGGGGAAGCGAGGGCAGGCGGAAGGAAAGAGAATAAGTCAAGAACTTCGCATACTTAAACTCATGGAAGATGTGTTTCTTTCCTTAGGCAGCTCTTTATGGTTGTGGCTGCTGGGCTGAAAATACAGGAGCTCATAACCCTTACTCCACAGCTGTGAGTACTTCAGGTATTTACTACTTTTATAAATATTTCAGAATGTCATTATCCTGTACTGTAGTTTGCAAATCTTCAAATGGGATATTCTTATGAAGGGTGAATTAAAATTTTAATTAAAATTTATTCCCAGATTTTGAATATATATATATATATATATTTTACATGCATATCTTTATATGACTGTATGGGAGAGTATTATCTTGAAATCCATGAATTTATCTCCATTGTTTGCTTATACTGGTAACAGAACTTAAAAGGCCAAATTGACAACCACGAGAACTTTTCTCTTTTATGACACTTTCTATTGAACTGAAAGGCTGTGCTGTATCTCTTATTTATTAAGAGATCTGTCATCTTGTAGAGAAGAGCTGTTATGGGTCTAATACTGTGTTAAACACAGAATGCTTTTGCCACTGGAAGCCTTCTGTAGGGCTGGACTAAGACAATTAGTAGGTCCTTAATTTAAGAGGATCCCTTGTCGTTTTGCTCTTTCTATGTAAATATGTTGTTTACTCTCCCCTTTTGTACCTCAAACCTAGCAGTCAAAATAGCAGGAGTTCACACTGAGTTTGCCGCCAGTTCTCTCTGTTTCCACTCCCTTCCATCTCCACCCATTTTTCATCAGCTTCCATGATTCCCAGCCCCAATGGGGTAGTTTATCTAGAGTGAGTCCAGAGTACTGAAAACAGAGTAGATGGAAATGGCATTCCCTCTCACTTCTTTTTCCTAATCTTAGGAACAGTATCAAACAGAAAAATTACTTTCAGCATTTTTTTCATCAATGCTTATGTCTGTTTATGATTTGGAATACTATTGAATGGTCCAAGTTGTCAACATTCACTATAAGAAGAGAGGAGAAAACATCTCTTTATATTGCAGCGTTGAGGTGCAGGTAATGCAAACTGTAGAAGAGCCCTCTTGGAGAAATGATGGGAGAAAGAGT